GAGGAAGGTCAGATAGAATTTGTTCAGCACTTTGGAAGAAGGCTTCATAAGTGCTTTTATGAGCATGGTCTGGTGGAAAATACACTGAGGCGAACACGTGCGTTTCACCGGCTATGTGTGATTTCACCCAAATATGCTCAAATTCTGTAAATTTTGGTGTAAAGATAATTTCTGAGTTAAAATTGGCCGAAAGAGCTATAAGAACTCCACCACCTGACTTCTTCTGTGTTGCATGAAAATTTCTGTCGTCTCTGAATACATTAAAGGCATTTTCAAAGATTTCTTCACTTTTTACGCTTTCGTCCCAGCTTGTTTCAGTTGCCAGAATAACCGAAAAGGATGAGCATAATAAATGTTGATAAATTTCCTTCATTTTAGCTGGGCTTTTCATGCGATTGAAATTTTGACAATAAATCAAAATTTCAGTCGCATTCTGTCTGTGTGAAGAAATTGTTGGATTTATAGCAGTGCCGTTGTTATCACACGGGCCTCCATTAGCTCAGTCGGTAAAGGTGCAGCTACAAAGCAATGTGGTGGCTGGGTTCGATTCCCAGGGCGGTCTAGGGATTTTTCGGGTTGGAAAATTTCTCGACTTCCCTGTAGATTATAGTTGTACTTGCCACACAATTATACTACAGGTATACCTCGATATAACGTAACTGTCACTTTTGACTACCATCGCTGATTACTAGCTAACAATCATTAAATCAAGCAAAGTAATAACACCATCGGAGATATGAGACAATCCTCCATCTATTGGTCATGCTAATTTTAATAATTGGATTGGTCTATGTGCGATATAGACGATGGAAGTCAAAAGTGACTGTTCAATTGTTTAGCAGGCAACATTGGTGTTTCTGGGGCGTAGAATATAGCACTAAAATCATGGCTACTACATATGTAACACTGCAGAATACAGTGCTGCCCACAAAACAGCTGCTTGGTCGTGCCATAAGAGATCAACTGACCTTTGGCTGAAAATTGATCTTCTGCAAAGTTGTAGAACTACTTAATAGTGCATCATGGGAAATGACTAGAAGACTATAAACAAAAGTTTGTTTTTCTCATAATAATTTCCATACAAACTTTAAATGGTTTATGCCAAATAAGTTCAAATTTTGAGAGGATAACCAGATAACCAGATTTGGAACCGTTTGAGCACTGTGGAGCGTAAATTTCAAAATTTTAAACAGTCTAATGTCCATAGAATTTTGAAAAATGTATCTGTACTGCTATAAGCTCTTGAATCACTAATCGCCCACGTTTGTCATCTGTGTGGAGCTGAGTGGATTGTGCGCCGGATAAAGCACTTCCGCTGAAGTCTGCGGTGGCCGAGAATCCATTGGCCTATGGTAAGAGGGAAGACTGAAACAATGGTCTTACAATAACCATAATACCTACTTATATATAGCAGTTACCTTGAACTATGAAAAATAGAATGCATTTTCAAACCCCTAACAATATTTTCGTGTTGAATCATTATATAGAAATAAAAGATTCTGATTCTACTGAACGCGATTGAATTAACATGTTTTACATTCAATTGCAAAAAAACTTCTATTGCACCAATTGTAAAAGATAAATTTTTCATTATGAAAAGAATCTATTTCATAATGAAAGATTGATCTTTTACAATTGGTGCAATACAAGTTTTTGGCAATTGCATGTAAAACATTTTAATTCTATCGCTTTGAGTAGAAAATGGAATACACTCATTATTATAGTCACTCTTGGTATTCAGCAAATAGAAAAATACGAAAGACTTAGAGATTTAAGAATTGTGTTGGATTCCTGCATTAACTTTTATTGTCCATTATAATGAAATTATAAACAGAGCAAATAACATGCTTGGTTTCGTCAAACGTTTCTTTCATAACTTTCGTGATCCATAATACCATAAAAACTTTGTACGTTGCATATGTTAGGTCAATACTAGAATTTTGTAGAATACACTGAAACCTCCGTTTACGAAGTCTTTTTTTACGCAGTATTCAATTTACGTCCCTCTTTTTACGAAGTAAATCCCAAATAACGAGGTTTTTTTTTACGAAGTAAATCCCAAATAACGAGTTTTCTTTTTACGAAGTAAATTCCAAATAACGAGTTTTTTTGTGATTTTGGGAAACTGGGATATACTGTGAAATACCACACAATATGGGTATTGTTGGAATCGGAGTGACGTGTAGGGACCGGAAATCGATGTCTGTCGCCATTTTTAAATCCAAGATGGCGGCTTCCGGTAACATAATAACTTCGAATTTCTGTCAAATACCCCACAATATGGGTATTTTTGGAATCGGAGTGACGTGTAGGGACCGGAAATTAATGTCTGACGCCATTTTGAAATCCAAGATGGCGGCTTCCGGTAGCATAAAAACATGGAAATTCTGTCATATACCCCACAATATGGGTATTTTTTGAATCGGAGTGACGTGTAGGGACCGGAAATCAATGTCTGACGCCATTTTGAAATCCAAGATGGCGGCTTCCGGTAAAAGAAAAGCTTGGAAATTCTGTCATATGCCCCACAATATGTGTTTTTTTTTTAATTGGAGTGACGTGTAAACAGTGATGGAAAAGTTCGCAAAAAATCACTATGACTCGCGAACTTTTCCCCATCTTTTCAAAATGGCGTCAGATATTGATTTCCGGTCTCTACACATCACTCCGATTCCAAAAATACCCATATTGTGAGGTATTTGACAGAATTTCCAAGTTTTTATGTTACCGGAAGCCGCCATCTTGGAATTCAAAATGGCGTCAGACATCGATTTCCGGTCCCTACACATCACTCCGATTCCAAAAATACCCATCTTGTGAGGTATTTGACAGAATTTCCAAGTTATTATGATACCGGAAGCCACCATCTTGGATTTCAAAATGGCGTCAGACATCGATTTCCGGTCCCTACACGTCACTCCGATTCCAAAAATACCCATATTGTGGGGTATTTGGCAGAACGTCCAAGTTTTTCTGTAACCGGAAGCCGCCACCTTGGATTTCAAAATGGCGTCAGACATTGATTTCCGGTCCCTACACATCACTCCGATTCCAAAAATACCCATATTGAGGGGTATTTGACAGAATTTCGAAATTATTATGTTACCGGAAGCCGCCATATTGGATTTCAAAATGGCGTCAGATATTGATTTCCGGTCCCCACACGACACCCTGATTCCAAAAAATACCCATATTGTGGGGTATATGACATAATTTCCATGTTTTTATGCTACCGGAAGCCGCCATCTTGGATTTCAAAATGGCGTCAGACATTGATTTCCGGTCCCTACACGTCACTCCGATTCAAAAAATACCCATATTGTGGGGTATATGACAGAATTTCCATGTTTTTATGCTACCGGAAGCCGCCATCTTGGATTTCAAAATGGCGTCAGACATTGATTTCCGGTCTCTACACTTCACTCCGATTCCAAAAATACCCATATTGTGGGGTTATTTAACATTATTTTTCTGTTTTTATGTAACCAGAAGCCGCCATCTTGGATTTCAAAATGGCGTCAGACATTGATTTCCGGTCGCTACACGTCACTCCGATTCCAAAAATACCCATATTGTGGAGTATCTGGCAGAATGTCTAAGTTTTTCTGTAACCGGAAGCCGCCATCTTGGATTTTAAAATGGTGACAGACATCGATTTCCGGTCCCTACACGTCACTCCGATTCCAAAAATACCCATATTGCGGGGTATTTGGCAGAATTTCCAAGTTTTTCTGTAACCGGAAGCCGCCATCTTGGATTTCAAAATGGTGTCAGACAACGATTTCCGGTCTCTACACGTCACCCTGATTCCAAAAATACCCATATTGTGGGGTTATTTAACATTATTTTTCTGTTCTTATGTAACCGGAAGCCGCCATCTTGGATTTCAAAATGGCGTCAGACATTGATTTCCGGTCTCTACACGTCACTCCGATTCCAAAAATACCCATATTGTGGGGTATCTGGCAGAATTTCCAAGTTTTTCAGTAACCGGAAGCCGCCATCTTGGTTTTCAAAATGGCGTCAGACATCGATTTCCGGTCCCTACACATCACTCCGATTCCAAAAATACCCATATTGTGGGGTATTTGACAATATTTTGAAAAACCTCTTTTTACGAAGTAAATCCCAAATAACGAGTTTTCTTTTTACGAAGTAAATCCCAAATAACGAGTTTTCTTTTTACGAAGTAAATCCCAAATAACGAGGTTTTTTTTTACGCACTAATTCGATTTACGAACCCCCGTTTTGGTTCGTAAATGGAGGTTTCAGTGTAGTTTGGTTTCTTTTTCCGAGTATACATGAAGCAAGAATTGAATCGGTTCAGAAGCTCAGGAAATTAGGCTGGACAGTATTCCCTCTTCTGTCCTGCGAGGCCCGCTGTATGCTTAGAAACGTCCAAACAGTTAGCGTCGTGAATGTGCAATGGTCCCCTTCATTAATGATCTCATTACACATCATATTGATTCAGCAGCTCTTCTATCTAGACTAAATTTTAACCACCTTCGCGGAATCTACGTAATCGAACTTTGTTTGTCACTAATCATTATCGTACAAATTATGCCAAATATGGGCTCATGAACCGAATGATTCTGGCGTATAATAAACACAGCGAATTTCTTCTCTTCGATATGACTAAATCAAGGTTAAGACAATATTTTATAACACGGACGAATATTGCTACAGGAAATTTTAATTGGATTAAAAAATTCACATAGAGGAAATGATTGACGACTAAAGTAAATAAATAAATAAATTTTGTTTGCCAAAACTGCACAATTCAAAGGGGTTGTTCGTGAACCACTGTCTACGATTTTCCATTCATATTTATAATAATGTATATGGGTGGTAGGTAATTAGCCGTCCCCACCCTTCAACCACTCTCAAAGATGTCTACATGCATGGTAAACCCCAAAATCAATTGCGATCAAAATCCCACACAAAACATGTACTCACTAGAATATACTCACTATCAAATACCCTTTCCCCCATGTTCATAGGACGGAGTCCACTGTTGGCATGCCAATCTACAAGACGCACATGAAGCTGCACATCTTCCACATCCTACAGAGTGATTACGGAACCTACAAGTGTGTAGCCAAGAACCCTCGAGGGGAAACCGATGGAGTGATACGAATATACAGTGAGTACGACCAATAAATCATTATCATACCTATCATCTTCGACCGACATTGAGTACTGTTCACAATGAGAGTTGACCTTCTCCTGAGCTCTAAGCCACTGCATGCTGGTTCACAGCACGTGTCGAACAGGACAACAAGCCTAATTAATTTGCTAAAGTCCTTGATCATCCGGAAGGGGAAAACCTTGACATACACACTGCATCTACTCCGTCTCTCTCAGTGCTCCATTCATTCATGCATTATGTCATCACTCTCGGTTATTCTAGGAAGTAGAAGTGTTTGGCATTCCAGGCACTAGGTGGGAACGGAACGTTCCACAAGCATGGCCATAAATAACGAGTGCTGACAATAACAGCATCGGAAAATCTCATCAGGAGGCAAACAGCTTTCAAAAGGCTTTCAAAGCCATTGTTTTCGTAGAATAAATAATTACGCTAGTGCAGAAAAGCGTATGCATAAGAAATTTGTTTGCCTTCTTACCGGTCGGTGTGTTCCGGTACGACGGCAGACGTTGTTGGTTGGTTGAATAAGATTCCTGTGTCCTGGCTTCATTCCGTTGCGAACTAAGGTTACCAGAAAATCATTGCTTTACTAGGGGAATAGTCTTCACACGAGATGCACGCTTTCCAATCCGATAAGAACATGTAAACAATTTTCTTGGAAAGCGCCCATGGTAACCTTGCTTCAAGATCCTGAAACCGAGAGCTTCGTGATCATTTAAAACGATTTAAGCGATGCTATTTCTCTGCTTTTGGCTTCAACTCAACAGCAGCAGTGTGCTGTGCAGCTCTTGCAATGTGTCACATGAGGGGGAGTCAGTGTGCTGTGCTTCCTTCCGATGGAAATACAGCCTCGGCAAGCAGATGGTAACACTTAATGAAATTTCGTTTGTTCGCTTGCTCGTTTTGGATCTCGATTTACCCCACGTTCACTAAAGCTAAAACAGCCCCTTGCTCCAGTCGCTGACAGGCGTCTGACTAATTATCAATAACAACAATGGACGAATTTATATGTGTAGTGCATGTACGATCAATGCGCTCGTCTGTTTGGGGTGGGATGCAAACAAAATCAGAATTTGAATTTATGATTTAATAATTGTAATTAAAACTGTCAACAAATTACGGCTGAGGGGTTACCGTTAAAAGATGAATGATTTATGAGGGAGGAAGCGGAAGGGATTGCTTGTTTATCGAATGGCAACCATTCGGCAATTGATTACTTTGTACGGGAAATACTCATCGTTTCATATGAAAAGTTCATCGCTGCGCTGGAAACAGAATTTAAATACATAATAGCAATTTTATTCTGAACTGAACAATTAGATTCTAAAATACATAAAGCATGGACCATTTAGAAAAATAATAATAGTATTGCGTGTATTAAGGATTTGTATTGACAATTCGAAAAGCTGTGTTGACTCGTATATTTCATGGGAATATTCAGAACAAAATATTCAACGCAATTTTGTAGACATTCCGGGGATAAACCGGATCCCGGTTCATCAACCGACGCACACATTTTTCATGCACCGTTTTGGTAATCCTAATCCACCATGTTTTCATCTGATTGGTGTTTTTGATTACTTTAACCTTCTTCTTCGGCATCACCTTCAAAATTGCCCAACATTTCTCAACCGGCCAAAACTGGTGACAATTAGGTTGGTTGATGTCTTTTGGATCAAGCTGGACTCCTTTAACCTCGTACACTCGAAGCACATCCTGTTGTAATAACGGGTCGCAATATTTGATTCAAGAGACATTCCAGTGTGTAAAGTTGCGAGTCTTATACATGAGGAAAACCTTAGCCTCCTGGCCGCATCTACAAATTCCCTTTAAAATAATGTAGGAGAGATGGGGATAAAATGCCCATACTAAGGAAGATCCTCGGTTAATCCACAAAATGAATCGATATTCAAAAGTGTAAAACCATCTATTTGCTGGATTAGATATTACAATTTATATGCTTAACGAAAATGGTTTAAATTGATGAAGCTGAAAAGGCCTACAAAAACCTATAAATAAAACAGCAAAAAAGGGTTAACTTCCATTTAATTCCACTTAATTAATTTTGGTATCCATGAAAGATACGTTTTTCGACTACAATGTGCAATCTTCATCAGTGTCATTCCCACTAATGAACTTATCAAAATCTAACCCCCTTAAGTACTCATCTCCTAGGTAAAAAAGTCAAGATCACAGGTATAAACATGAATCTACAATGTGTTGCCTACAAGCCTTTGGGATTTTCCTTACTAGAGAGTTGTATAGATTTTTTTCTCCTTTACTTTACTAAAATCTTTGATTTTTATTAGTTAGGTAGGTTACATTGAATCGTGTGTTAATTAAATGGAATTATTAATTAATTACACTTAATTAAGTGGAATTATCATCAGTTGTTAATTAAGTGGAATTATCATCAGTGTAAGAGCAACCAAAGGATGCCCGCTAGGAGGCGTGTTATCACCTCTATTGTGGTCTTTAATAGTTGATGATCTTCTCAAAAATTTAATAGCCCATGGCTTCGAAATAATTGGCTTCGCAGATGATATAGTCATAATTGTATGTGACAAATATGATTGTAACAGAATGCAAATTGCTTTAAATTTTGTCTCATCGTGGTGTGATAGGGAAGGATTAAACATAAATCCTTCTAAAACTACTATCGTGCCATTTACCCGAAGGAAGAAATTTTCATTAGACAACATAAGATTGAAAGGCACACTTTTGGAACTTTCTAATGCTGTCAAATATCTTGGAGTAATCCTCGATAGTAAACTTAATTGGAATATGCACCTAGAGCAGGCAATAAACAAAGCTACTAATGCTCTATGGATATGCAAAAGAACATTCGGTAAACAGTGGGGACTGAAACCGAAAATGATCCATTGGATTTACTCGGCAATTGTGAAACCCAGGATTACTTATGGTGCATTGGTCTGGTGGCCAAAAACAAAAGAGAGTGTTGTTCAGAGAAAGTTAGAAAAACTCCACAGATTAGCAACTCTCTCAATAACAGGTGCAATGAGAAGTACACCATCGAAGGCATTGGATGCTTTGCTTTATATGCTACCATTGCATCAATTTGTACAATTAGAAGCCGAAAAGTGTGCTCTAAGGATTACAAGGTCAGTGAAACTCTTTGAAGGAGACTTTAGAGGACATCTTACGATTCTAAAAACTGTTAGTATCAACTCTCTAGTAAGGAACAACGAAGACTGGATGGAGAAAAGATACAATTTCAATCGACTTTTTCGAGTAGTTGACCCTGGGCGTAATTCATGGCAATTTGGTGGCCCGGTTCTTCGTCCAGGATCGATTGTTTTTTATACAGATGGTTCAAGATTGAACAATCAAGTGGGAGCAGGAGTAACTGGCCCAGGGATAGAAATATCGGTTCCTATGGGCAGATGGCCAACTGTGTTCCAAGCAGAAATCCAAGCAGTTTTAGAGTGTTCCGTTATATGTTTGCGTAGAAACTATAAGAGTTCAAATATATGCGTCATGTCCGACAGTCAAGCTGCTCTAAATGCTTTAAAGTCGGCGACATGTACATCAAAACTTGTCTGGGAGTGTGTTCAATCAATTCAAAAATTGTCTTGTCATAATCAAGTCAACTTATATTGGGTTCCTGGTCATTGCGGGATTGAGGGAAATGAAAGAGCTGATGCACTAGCAAGACTCGGATCTTCTCATAAGTTCATCGGGCCAGAGCCCTTTTGTGGTTTATCGGCTGCATCTCTTAGAATGGAGCTAAAAGCGTGGGAATATTCAAAAGTGGAGGAAACTGGAAGAACACTTCCATTGCTAGGCAGTCGAAGCGATTTATTAATCCAAACATTTCTGTGACCCACAAAATCCTGGAACTTTCTAAGAAAGATCTTAGTATATATGCAGGTCTTATAACAGGTCATTGTCCGAGCCGTTATCACTTGAAGCTTCTGTGGCATAGAAAAGGAAGACTCGGAACATTTTCTATGCCACTGGCCGGCAATTTTCAATAAAAGGCGTAAGTTCTTCGACAAGGGGCTGATAGAACCCTTTGACATTTGGAGAACAATTCCCAGTACGGCAGTGCACTTTATTCGAAGTATAATGCCGTGCTGGGATAATGCTATTAGTCAAACGATGGCGATCACTCCTAATAATAGTGATACGGCATCTTGATATAGCTAAAGAAAAAATGGGGAATATATCACAATAGATCAGAAAAATGGTCGCAGTTATGAAAATACCCGACAAGGAACAAAAAAGTTGAATTATAATAAGATAATATGGAAGATAACCCTTTTTTGCTGTTTTATTTAAGCATTCCGCTAACAACCCAATTTCATTACTTCATTATGATGGCTACCAAGCCTTTGGGATTTTCCTTACTAGAGATTTTTTCTCCTTTACTTTACTTAAATCTTTGGTTTTTATTAGTTAGGTAGGTTCCGATTCAACACCTTGTAGTTTCATTTTTATACCTGTGATCTTGACTTTTTGACCTAGGAGATGAGTACTTAAGGGGGTTAGATTTTGATAAATTCTTTAGTGGGAATGACACTGATGAAGACTGCACATTGTAGTCGAAATACGTATTTATCTGCCATGGATACCAAAATTAATTAAGTGGAATTAAATGGAAGATAACCCTTTTTTGCTGTTTTATTTAAGCATTCCGCCCAATTTCATTACTTCCCAAGTAACATTGCAGGTTTTATGGTGGTTTTGAAGCATGCTACAAGTCTAAATTTGAGTCTACAGCACCCCATAAAACCAAAATTGTTACTTGTGTTCACTACAAAAACCTGTTTTCAAAACACTGAGGGGCAAAATGCGTATACTGATTTCATGCCACGGAAGCATACATTTAGGCGTTGTCTTGGCTGCTTCTCTATTGAATATCAAAGGTTCTCGCCTGATGGTTATGCTTCGCACACTAAGTTCGGGGAGCGCGTTATACCCCATTTGAAGTAACAAATTGCAACGTTGAGAATAAAAATTATTTTTCTATTAAA